CCCCCCAAGCACCAAGAATACAGAGCATCACTGCCCCAGACCAGTTCCTCTGGAGGGCCAACAACAGGGCACAGAGACCAAGACCTTCCCTTGATGTTGTCTCCTGGCACTGGGATGCAGGTAGACTGCCTCTGAATGTGGAGGGACCCCTCAGTCGCCATAGCTAGTAGGCATTGATAGACTTACGCTCCATGAAACATCTAATCCCCTTTGAAAGCTGTGTATTCCCATGGCCACCACAACATCCTCTGGTGGCAAAGTCCACATTTTAATCACTCTGTGATGAAAAACTTACATCCCTAACAGTCCAGGCCATCCTTTGACAATGTTTTTATTTTTCTTCCGGTGTTACAGAGAACTTTCTTCCAGTCTCACCAAGCCAGAGAAATGGCTTGTCAAACTGATTGTATAGCTTTTATTGGAATGTTTTATTGAGATGTTGTTCACCTCCCTGAACCCAGGAGAGGGCAGCCTATAAATCAAACTAAACAAATGAAGCACATCCTGTGTTTGTAGGTAGTCCGCTGGAGGAGAAATGTGTGGGTGCTCTGTAAACTGTGCAGTATTATTTGACGTCTCACCCCCTGGCTTCATGTATACTTCAGACATTTGCAGAAAGAATTAGTGTATGGTGGCTGGATACTTTAATGTCCCCTTGATATTCTTCAAGAGACCACTGTTTTAGATGCACTTTTGATAGCAGCAGTTTGGTGTAGTGGTTAAATGCGTGGACCCTAATCTGGGAGGACCGGGTTTGATTCCCCACTCCTCCACTTGCATCTGGCTGGATGACCTTGGGCAAGCCATAGCTCTGATAAGAGTAGTTTTTGAAAAAGTGCAGTTTCTGTCAGAGCTCTCTCAGCCCCACCTACCTCACAGGGTGCCTGTTGTAGGGAGGGGGAGGGAAAGGAGTTTGTAAGACGCTCTGAGACTCCGAGGGAAGGGCGGGGTATAAATCCAATCTCCTCCTCTTCTTCTTCCTCCTCCTCTTCTTGATTTCCTTCATTTAAACAGGAAGTTAAAGTAGACAGCCCTTAAGGCCCCTTCAAACTCTTTGACTCCAGAAGGATGAGAAAGTCCCTTGTCTGCGGCTTGATTTTGTGGTTTTTGTGATAATCTATTGCTTTGAAAGATACATGTATGGTATAAAAATGAGTGTGTGCGCTTAGTATAATATTATTGCAAGTGAATAAAACTGGAGCAGCTACCGAGGAGGCGTCTTGTCTGTGCCTGTAAAGATTCAAACGTGGATTTTGCAGTGTTTTATTATGAACCTCATGGATATTGCACAGGACATGACCTGGTTTTTATTTGCTCCACTTCAGCAAGACCTCGTTCGTTCAACCAAATGATCGTTTAAAATTATGCAAGGGATTTATGCACTATTCACTAGACATCAGAGCAAAAAAAAAAATTGAATTGAAAGTTATAGAGCGCTTTGCTGGGAGTGGTGATTTATACAAGAAAACCTTTGAAGAGACTGCTAGAATTAAGTGAGGACCTCAAAGAATTTTGCTTCTCTCGTCAGAGGTGGCGAAAGCAGTGTCAGCAGACATGCCTGTTACCCACTGATAAACTTTGCAGTCAAAAGGATTGTCACCACCTCCTATCGTTCATGCCTGTAATTCTGCCTCAGTATCACATCTTAGTGAGCATCCTGGTTTAAGAACCACTTGGGTCCAAGTTCCACACGAAAAGGGAGGCACCGGGAGAAGAAAAGGGCGTATACCAGATACGTTAGGAGAAAATTGTTTTATTTCATTTTGTTTTATCAGTTGAACGTTTATCCCGCCCTCCCTACAAGCAGGCTCAGGGCCAGCCACAAATCACAAAGTAAAAATATAAACAAATAGTTAAAAACAGTGTTCCCTCTTAACTGAGCGAGTGTGAGCTAGCTCACAGTTTTTTAGCCTGCAGCTCACACATTGTTCTCTAAGCTCTGGAAGGAGGGCTCCAGAGCAGAATAATTTATGCAGCAGCCAAACCGCTTGCTCACAACTTTAATGCCGGTAGCGCACAAAGTAGAATTTTTGCTCACGAGACTCCACAGCTTAGAGGGAGCAGTGGTTAAAACCATCTTTCTCATGAAACCCAATCAGACACAAAGCAGGGTGGATTCGCCTTGATGGCGGTGCTCCGTTCAAGCTGGATCCGTTTGGCCAGCATTGTCAGCAGGGGAGGCCAAGATAGAATTGCGATGTCCGCCGCCTCATCCGAAGGCCCAGCGGAACGGCTCCGTCTTGCAAGCCCTGCGGCATCGTAGCAAATCCCGCAGGGCCCCTGATCTCAAGAGGGAGCTGTGGCCAGGGCAGAGAAATATTTAGAGAGATCCAGTGGAATGCTGTGGACTGGAAAAAGGAGTGTGCACGGGTTTTCCATCAGTGTAAAACTGACAGTGGTATTTAGGTGGCAGCATTGAGCCACGACAGCACCTGACGTGATCAGTTGATATGAAAGCAGGAAATGCAATATTACCTATGTAAAGTATTCTAAAGCACTGTGGCCAAGGCACACACCACCCTCCATTTGCCGTCTGTTGGACGGGAGGAGACACAGTCTGGCTCACAGTGCTAAGCTGAGAAATGCTGAGATGAGAAACTGCTGTTGCCTATCCTGAGTCTTGGGAGTTGGAGCGGTCAGCCACCTAATCTAGATGTAAAAACGGCCATCTCACAGAATCATAGAGTTGGAAGGGCGACCTCCAGGGCCATCTAGTCCAACCCTCTGCACAGTGCAGGAGATTCACAAATACCTCCCCCCCCACACACCCGGAGTGACCCCTGTTCCATGCCCAGAAGAGCACAAAAAACCCCATGCAGGATCCCCAGCCAAACTGGCCTGGAGAAAAACTGCTTCCAGACCCCAAAGTGGCAATTGGCATTTCCCTGGGCGTGTAACAAAGGGCCACGAGAACTAATCACTGGTGCAGCCCTTCCTGTCCTCCCTCTCAGGATCTGCCTAAGTTCACAGAATCAGCATTGCTGTCAGATGGGGCCATCTAACCTCTGTTTGGAAACCTCCCAAGAAGTAGAGCCCACCACCTCCCGGGGAAGCCTGTTCCACTC